AAGATGTCAACTAAAGAATTCCTTTGTAGATCCCAGTGACATGGACGGGATTTCTGTTTAAGGAGGTTTATAAACATGACGTTATCTAAAAAAAGTTATTCAACATCGTAGAAAATTTGCGAACTTCAGAGAAATTACTGGCACCAACGAGCAGGCTCGGTATTTATTTTTACTGAGATCTCAGCTAAATTTATGTTTGTTAGCTGAGATCTCGGCAAAATTCCCGTTTGTTTGCTAAATTTCGGCAAGTTTTTCAATGAGATTCAGCAAAATAAAATGCCGAGCAGCTCGGTGGTGCCCATCCCGGCAAAAAATCTAAGTGTGTAGAAGGAGATCTTCGATGAAGCTCAGGGATTTTTTTATCTTCATCAGACTTCATTTTGTTCAGGGGATCTCGTAGAAATACAGGAAATCTATATATATAAAAATGAATTTCTGTCTGCCTGTCTGTCTGTCTGTCTGTCTGACCCTTATAGACTCGGAAACTACTGAACCGATTGGCGTGAAAATTTGTATACAGGGGTTTTTGGGGCCGTGGAAGGTTCTTATGATGGTTCGAGACCCCTCCCCCTTCTGTAAGGGGAGGCTCCCATACAAATGAAACAGAAATTTCTGCATAACTCGAGAACTAATCAAGCAAATGGAACCAAATTAGGCAAGTGGGGGCGAGTGTGGGGGTATAAGGAGATAATCATAGGGGGTAGCCCCTAAGATAATAGGGGGAGGCTACGTACAATATAGCATGCTTTTTTTTAAATCGGCGCATAAACTCAAGCTAATATTGAATCCCGAGCAAGACCGGGCACACTCAGCTAGTTTAATATAAAATCGTGGAACATCGTGGGATTCCGATAATGTTGAAGAAATTCAGGGTGCTTTAAAAAAATCAGGAAAGCTTTGTAGAACTAGAAACCTAATACTAGTTTGAGAAACTTCTAAACTTTACGAAACTTTGTTTAATTTAAGAAACCGCATAAAAGTTCTTTTAGCTTCAGGATACTTCGTTAATGTTCACAAAAAATATATCAGAAAATTCCATGGTAATTAATGAAATTTTGCAGAACTTCAAGGAACTTTGCAGAAGTTCAACTAAATTTTATATAGATCAGGGAACTTTGTAAAAGTGCAGTGAACTTTATAGGAATTCTAAGAACTTTGCAGAAGTCAAGCAAACAGCTCGAGGAACTTTGTAATACTTTAGAGAAGTGTTAATATTTTTTAAAGTTCAAGGAATTTTGAACATCAGCTTTTGATTTAGGGATTTTACTGGAAGTTTTGAAATTTTTGTTTCATCTAGATGTTGATTCAAAATCGTTCCTGAAATTCGAAGAAGGTTGTGAATGTTCTGAGATCTTGGTCAAATTGAGATATCTTTTAAACCATAATTACATACAAAGTGTTTTTATGTTACTTCATACGCGAAGTTAAAGATTTTCAGAGTTGGTTGGAAATGCTAACATGAAGCTTTAGTGTGATGATTTATTAGCTAGGGAATGATCTTTAGAAGAGGGTAGGTGGATAGTTCCGTTAGAGTACGGCAGTATGAAAATTGAATAGAAGTTGAAAATGAGCGAAGGGCCATTAATGCGACAGTTTTAAGATCGACGCACATTTTTGCCTAACCCGTACGATGTACGCGGGGACTTGAAGTATGTCTCCAAGTCCACAGGCAAAAATGTGCGTCCCTCTTTTTGCTCATAAACTGACTGCGGCTGTGGAATAGTTCTAGCGACGTTTTCATCACTACCTAAAGCCCCACGTTGCAAGAGCATTTTCAGTTTCCAGGAGACATACTTCAAGTCCCCGCGTACATCGTACGGGTTAGGCAAAAATGTGCGTCGATCTTAAAACTGTCGCATTAATGGCCCTTCGCTCATTTTAAACTTCTATTCAATTTTCATACTGCCGTACTCTAACGGAACTATCCACCTACCCTCTTCTAAAGATCATTCTCTAGCTAATAAATCATCACACTAAAGCTTCATGTTAGCATTTCCAACCAACTCTGAATAATTACATAACTTGGAAGAAGTTGATGTAACTTCGTAATAGCAGAAAAAAGGGACAAGCAAGCAATTTTTCCGCCACCTGCTGAGTACGGTGCTTTTCGTAATAACTTACACTTCTGAGTTATGAACGTAAAAAATGGTGAAAACTCATTTTTTGGCGCAAATTTAAAGGCCGATATATTGCTTTCTAAAGCATTATGAAATACACAACTTTGTCGAAGAAATCATTCTTCTAGGACGCTCAGTTAAAACGGTAGAATCAAGCGCCGAATTGTGGAATTGTGGATAGGACTGTATCCAGACAAAAAAGAAAAAACTGAAACCAATTTGCGAAACTATCACAACTTATGCAACCAATTAAATACAGCCACCAACTCTGCATATGAGGACTATAACCGCAAAGTCGAAAATGAAGTCAAATCATGTCCTATGAACTTTTTTAATTATGTAAACACGAAATTAAAAAGCAGCAATTTTCCTTCGCGAATGAATTTGGATGCAAATGTAGGTGAGAATTCTTCTGAAATTTGCAGTCTCTTTGCAAATTTCTTCCAAGAAGTATACACCACATTTTCCGAAGAAGATCGTGACCGCGATTTCTTTGCATTCATTCCTGAAATTTCTAAAAACATCTCTGTCAACCAACTTTCTCAACATGAAGTCCTCAATGCACTAAAAAACTTAAACGCGTCGAAAGGGTCTGGACCTGACGGCATCGCACCCATATTTTTGAAAAACCTTTCTGAAGAACTCGCATTTCCTCTAGAGCGTCTTTTCAACATGTCTCTGAAAAATGGAAAATTCCCTGAAATTTGGAAATCATCTTATTTGGTACCTATTTTCAAATCAGGTGCAAAATCAGACATTCGAAATTATCGTGGAATTGCTATTATTTCTTGCATTCCAAAACTTTTTGAATCAATCGTAAACGGCAATATTTTTCAGCAGGTGAAAAATCTAATTACAAGTAAACAGCACGGCTTTTTTAAAGGTCGCTCAACTACCTCTAATCTTCTAGAATATGTATCTTTCATTATTAAAGCGTTGGACAGTGGCAAGCACGTTGAAGCGCTATACACCGACTTCAGTAAAGCATTTGACCGCATCGACATACCATTATTAATCCTCAAATTGCAGAAAATAGGAATGGAGCCTGGACTTTTGAATTGGCTTCAATCATACCTAACACATCGTAAACAAATAGTTCGCTTTCAAAATAAACTTTCAGAACCAATTTCAGTCACCTCTGGGGTACCCCAGGGTTCTCATTTAGGCCCACTTCTTTTTATTTTGTACATAAACGACATTTCCTACATACTTAAAAAAATAAAATTGCTTGTATATGCAGACGACATGAAGCTCTTTATGGAAATAAGTAATTCTAGCGATGCAGAAGAATTCCAGAATGAAATCAATATATTCCACACCTGGTGTAGTAAAAGTCTACTTAAACTGAACGTAAAAAAATGTACTGCAATAGCATTTAGCAGAAAAATTGAAACACCGCATATTGAAATATCATTAGGCAACCAAATAGTAGAAAAAAGCAAAATTGTAAGAGATCTAGGTGTAATCCTAGACTCCAAACTAACTTTTATAGAACATTATAATACTATCATTAGTAAAGCAAACAGAATGCTAGGCTTCATCAAAAGGTTCAGTCATAATTTCGAAGACCCATACACTATTAAGCTTTTATATACCACATATGTAAGGCCAATTCTGGAATACTGCCACCTAGTATGGAATCCATACATTTCCATACACGAAGAACGCATAGAATCTGTCCAAAAACAATTCCTTTTATATGCTTTACGTAAATTGAATTGGACTGCATTTCCATTACCATCTTATGAAGCGCGCTGCATGCTCATCAATATACAAACACTTAAGGAGCGCCGCCAATTTGCAATGCTTTTCTTCATCAACGACATTATTTCAATGCGCATAGATTCGGCAGAAATTCTCGCACATTTAAATTTTTACACACCTTGTCGATATCTTAGAACACGGAATTTATTTTCAGAAACATCGTACAGAACAAACTATGCAAAAAATAGCCCAATCAATCGAATGATGCGCCTATATAATTTGCATTGCGGAACTATTGACATCACTATGTCCAAGCAGCAAATACAAACTAAGCTAAAACAGAATAGAATTAATGCATAGTATGTAAGTAAACATTGTAATAATCATTGTATGTAGTCTACACTGGCTTGACGAAATGAAATAAAGTCCAAGCATACTCATTCACATAATCTAGTCAGAAAGGTTTTACTTGGTTTTTGAATTGTGTTCGGTAAAAGTTTAAAAATCTGTGGAAAATTCCAAAATGAGAAATTAATTCTGAACTCTATTAACCCCATTTAATGATAGAAAATAAAATTTGTCGATTTCATGTTTTTCTACGGATATCGGTCATTTGAATTTTTACCGACTTTTACAGCAATTCAAAAACCAAGCTACACACCAACAGTTCGGTGAATTTTCACAGATTTCCTGTAATTTTTCTCAGATATTCGGTGAAAAATCACCGAACTGGTTACCGAACGTTCAGCTGTTGAGATGTCGGTTAAATTTCACAGAATTCGGTGAAATAATCTTAGTGTGTAAACATACTGAATTATTTAAAATGATCTAAGTGTGTACAGTTTACGGTAGATCTATAGCAAAGTATAAAATTTAGTGAGCTGTTCGCTGTTCAGAATTTGATGTGTGTCCAATATTCAGCCCTCGGGCCTGATGTGGTATGTGAATCTAAAAAATGAGGCCATTCTAGTCCAATTTTCTTTCAAAATATTAATTTTAGGCCAGAATGGTTAAGAAATAAACAAAAAGCAGTTTGAAACATGTTTATCGAAAAGTAATTTTTGTAAGGTTGGGTAGGCCGGGTATGCCGTATTTCAGTCGCACTGATCGACTAGGCCATCAAAATTTTCATTTTCTCAGTTATTAGATGTTACAAGGAACTACAAAAGCAATACTCACAGATCCTTGTCGTACAGGTTGTGCGGAATCGAGGTGCACACGCCGGCACCGTCACCGGTATCATTATCACAGGCGCACGCACCGCGATGGTTCATACGAATCGACAGCGTTTGGGCATCGCGCAAGATCTGAGAATGGAGTCGTAGTAGATAGGAGAACAAACGTTATTTTGAGTAGGAGGTGATGGTGGAGGCGCCCGGTGTGGCTCATGGCACGAGACCGGTGGCGATCGTACCTTATGGTTAGCTTTTCCCTCGATCGAAACGATGAAACCAACGCCACAGGCTTCATGCTCGTTTTGTGGATCATAAAGACCTTGTGCTGCTGGTGCTTCCCAGTCCATAGTCGGTTTTGTTGGTTGTTGTTGTTGTTCGCGAACTTCATCCTGCCGGATTACTTCACGTGGCACAATCACTTCAGAGGATAGTTCATTGTTGGGTGGGGCCATTCTATTCGCACCGATAGAAAGCGAAACGCAGTACTTTCCGGATTTCTTCTGGCCTTGTTCTTCAATCACTGGCAAATAAGAAGGATTGCTTTGATATTCACTTGAGAAATTACTTCACCGAATTAATTTCTTCACTCTGCTACGGTCTTTGATAAATGTTCCCAAACACTCGGTCACTTCGTAGGAGATATAATATTCAAAAATGTTATTTAATCAGTTTTCTTGGTATAGCGGAAGACAGCGGTTCAAATTACCTGGAAAATATAAAGAAATGAGCCTATAAGTAATTTATCAAAAATATGTAACACAGTATGCGAAATATATGACGTTATTCACTTTCTACGGTTGATGGTTGTTGTCAGTTTCAAGTTAATTTCACAATCCTTATGCGTCAATTACTTCCTAGAAGTGTAAGCTCTTAATCTATTTCTGATCCACCATTATCTCGTGGTGACACCCTTGAAGCGTTTGCATCGACTTGTTTTCTCCTTATCAGCTATGAATTGTCTGGAAGGTGTCAAAATGACAAATTATCACTGACGCTAATTTGTTTCGAAAGCAAAAAGACAAACGCGACCGCATCTATATCACAGAAAGCTGTCTATCGCAAACTTGGTGATCCATGGAATAATTAGCTGAACTGACCATTCACTGAACGCTAATTAGAGCATCATTATTCGATCTCACTGAGTTGCTCAATCGGTTGTACCGTTAATGAACTTGAACTCGCACACAATATTTATAATTACAAATCACACGTCTCCCTCGGGATGAAAGTGCTTTTAATAAAGCGGATTGTCTTCCGTACCGTGAAAATGGTAGCGTAGATGGGTTGTTTTCCAATGTGAGGTTTAAGTTTTTAATTTGCTTGGTATATTTTCTCACTTCAGAACAACGAACGTCCGATTTGCACCGTGGTCAGAATGAGACTGAGAAGAGTAGCGACCTGCGCTCGGCTCATCTGGTTGTTGACCATTGAGTGGGGAGGAGAGCCAACCCGTCAACAAGTTGTTTGCACGAGATCTAGGTGTATGCTCGAAAACACACATAGGGTCAATCAATTCAGTCGGGACGGGATCGCATACTGGGGAGCCAATAAGCTCTTTTCATTCTAGCTCGCTTCACCATAGCTATCCCAATTTAGGAAGACATTTCTAGTAAGAAAACTGCAATTCGCAGTCAAATGAATAGAAATTTAATTCGGGCATGTCCAGACGTTTCTATAGTCCGTCTTCGGATGAAATCATGATCGGTCATCGCAGAATTGCCTAGTCAGCCGCTGTACGGCTACGATGGGTGGCATATTTATTTTATGATTGTTTGTTTGACTAGGGCATAGTGGTAGAATTTTCTGATTATTTGCAGCTTATTTTATATGGTGGCCAAATGTTTGTGCATTATTTCGTTGTGTGCGCGATGATTGAATTATAATCTGCTGAATAATCGAACATGGGTGTTTCGTCGAGAAATGTTCACGTTGTACTGATTTAGAAAATCTGGTGCGTCACTGCTCGGGATTGGAGTGAAAGTTCAATAAATTTATCTTACACCCGACCGCAGAATGCAAGATTTTCTAAAACATATAAAGAAACAGTAATTCAATTTCTGTATTATAGTCATCGGTAGACTTTTAAGAGAATCATATTAAATTAATCAGTCGGCGCCGTTGGGATTTTCTGAGGCATACAATCTCTGATCACGCCTTCATTCGGAAGGGAAGTAATGCCGTTGGTTCCCAAGTCATGAGTTGATGGGTCGATAGGTAGGGTCCAGGTGTGGGAACTGCCTCCATGGCATCGGTAGCATTGGTACTCAGTACGGAAAAGAAGATCGACGGAAAACAAATCAAGGGAAAAAAATATTAAATTAATGATAGTGAATTTTAGGAATCATGTTGATTTCCTCCACATGACATTGAACCACAAAAAATATCTTGTGAAAGTTTTGAACGAAAATATTGAACCATAAAAGGTTACTAGTTCACAACAGCCTGTTGAAAGCATACAAATACACTTCTAGCAAGAAACATATACAGAGTTATATAAATTTGATGTGTTTGCCGTTTGTTTTACGAGTGTTAATTTTATTTGCAAACCCAGCTAAGCAACTAGATTTAATACGGGTATTTGTTTCATTGGAAATCATTATCGATTGATTACAATACTTGGAACAGCAAATATCACATACATACCTTCTTGAATATCTGAGGGTAACAGGATGGTAAGGAATTCTTCTTTTGTAGGAGAATAAAACCACTGCGACCAGTAATGAGATATTGTGGTATACTCCAATTTGATATATATGCACCGTCAGTTCGTTCAATCACTTTGAATGTGAGTGATAGTCGCACTATGACTATGCATTTCACCCCGAAAAGGTATAACTTCCTTAATGAAGCTCGTTAGTTTTTAGTTCAGTAGACCATATCTCGTTAGGCTTTAGGACACCCTTACCGAGAAACCAGAGTCTTCTCTGAATTAATGTACGACATTGACACAGTATGTATCATCTGTCAATTTACCTAGTTTTTAGGCTGATATTTGCTTGGACAGTGTCTGGTTAATAGACCAATCAGCCTACTCAGATCTATTTTTTTTTTCAAGCTGAGTAGGCTGTGTGCGATTCTGTTAAAAGGTGTAATGAATCTTTTCGATTGTCGTAATGCAGAAAGAGCTCTCCAATTCTAAGCTCGGATTTTAAGCAGGATGTAGATACCTCACAAAAAGGCTCAGGCCCGATGAAATCAGTTAAAGAGAAAATTCAAGCTAAAGAATCGGCTACCACAGTGACCAGGTACCCAATATAGGTTATCACTATTAGTTGTAGCCAGCTGTTTTAAGGAGAGGATGCACTCCCAAACTAGCATCGACTGGCATGTGTATGCTTTTAAATTATTCAGTGCTGCTTGACTATCAGAGAAAATACAGATATTGGCATGTCTGTATTTTCTAGTCAAACAAATATTTGTACATGTTAAAATAGCATGTATTTCTGCCTGTAAAACTGTAGGTCACTGTCCTATTGCAATTGATATGTGGGCCTGTGATCTCAGCTTCGGTAGATTTCTCCATTTTGGAGCCATCGGTGTAAAACACGTGTGATCCTGGACGAATTTTAGGACCACCTGCCTCCCATATGCTACGATTGGATTCAACCACTTCAAAGGAATATTAAAGTTAGTCTTGGCCTCCATGCAGTCTTCATTCATGGCTACTAAAGTGCTTAGTTGAAAATCTCTCTGAGGATTCGTAGGTGTCCATTGAGATCTCCATCTTGAGAACGTTTTACACGTTTCAGCCTTAGGGCACCTGGTTCTGCTGTTGCACGAATTTATGTAGCGGCACAAGATGTAAAAGAGCATTTATGGCCTTAGAGGGTGCACTGGTCATTGCTCCAGTTATTGACGAGCACGCCAGTCGTTGTAATTTTTCAAGCTTTTTTTGGGCTGAAATTTGTGTAGTTTTGGCCACCACACTAACGAAGCATATGTGATTGTGGGTCTCACAATCGCCGAGTTAATCCAGTAAATCATCCTCGGTTTTAGTCCCCACTTTTTACCAAATGTATTGCTTCAAGCCCAAAGAGTATTATTTGTTTTTGAGATCGCGTACTCTAGATGTTCGTTCCAATTTAGCTTATGGTGAAGCAAAACACCTAAATATTTAGTTTGCTTAGATAGCTCCAATTGTACTCCTCTCAACTGAAGATTTGCATTAGTACACACTTAGAAAATTTTACAGAAATCTGTAAAATTTTACCGAAATCTCAACAGCTGAACGTTTGGTAAACAGTTTCACAGATTTCCTGTAATTTTTCACTAGCCCGTCAGTTTCGCTTTCAGAGAGTCACAATCTGCGGTTTTATCATTTTCCCTCACTCACTCACTCGATCATAAATTCTCTGATAGTGACTTGCTGAAAGCAGAATTTTATGTGTTAAGCACATACTTCACAACTTCTTCTAGTAACTAACATGTATAAAATATTATCATTACTTCTAATCTTTTCATAATTCCAAAATACATTTTGTTATAACGAAATGAGCATTTGCAACCCTGCATCTAGAAAGTAAATCATCAATTGATTTCCAAGCATATCCTATTAATCATCATTTTCAGAAAACATTAAATTTGACTCAGTTAATGTGTCTGAAATTATTTAGAAGCGCGCCTCAGAAGGTCACCTACATGACGACAGGACTACAATCAGGTATCAAAAAGTCTTTGAAGAAGACCTTCTAGTGAAACATCCACAGATGTTACTTGCTATGTAACTTGAGAGTTGAGTCACTTGAGTTGCTTGCAATAGTTAAAGACTATAGGTCCAGAGGGTTTGAAATATGAAGATTCACGCTGCTCTTCCGAGTGAAAAATCTTGTGAAACGACCACAAAAATAAAATATGAACACACTGAGATGCACAGGCAATATACCCTAAACATCTTATTGGAATATTAAATGTGTTTACATGATAATTAACAGCTGCTTCATCATGAATAAACGCAAATTGAGATTAAGGTCAAGACATTTATAACAAACCATGATAATGATCACTATTTGTCAAGTGGATTGGAAAATAAATCTAAGCCTCAAAATATTGATAACAACCACAATCTACAACAGTGTATCCTATTTATATACACACTAACTTCATCTGAGTGGGAATCTTCCCGAAGTCAACAAAACACCCCGCTCCAACTGACCAACATTACAGTATTCTCTGTAATCACTTGATAACACGTGCTTCTCGGGCTCGTTTCGACAGCCAAAAAACCCCTCACATACTTTCTTATGTACAGCAAATTCCGCGAGCGCACACACAAATATAGATCCTACAACGACACGCGATTGACCAACCAAATCGCCCGAACTTCCCCGCGTTGACCCCCCTTCTAGCGTCGGTACATAAATAACTCAATTTGTGACGAATTCGCCAGTGCAAAGTCCATCCATATCCACACGTCCCAAGAGCTCGAGATGAGTAGGTACGAAACGATTTTTTTTCTCTTTCACCCTTGGAAAAATTCCACTCCATGCTTCCTTACTAAATTCATGAAAACTCTACACGCGGTTTCTGACCAACAACCTTCGATCGAATTCCCGATTGCCATATAGGTCTTGCGGGCCGATATACGTGGAATGCAAATGTTCCGACTTACGTCCCGTTGTTGTCTGCATGCGAAGAGTGCAACGTATGCACTTTTTGTGCTACCTACCCCGAGTAGGAGACGTTGAAAAAACAACCGCACACACTACA